TATATATAATATATATGTATAATCAATTCCACAATGTATAACATAACAAGTATAATCAATTATCCAGTTTAGGCTTCCAGACTTATGACCCTGTGAGAGACTGCATACAGCTCAGCTCTAGTGGCCTACAAATACTCCAAGTCTCATGTTTTATCATCCAGTCATCACACATTCCTTTAGCAGAATGGACCACATTTCCCAGCCTTCCTTTAAATAAGATTTATTTTTATTTTATATGTATGGATGTTTTGCCACCTGTATGCCTGTATACCACATGCCTGCAGTGCCAGAAGATGCCAGAAGAGGACATCGAATCCCAGGAAATTGGAGTTACAGACAGTTGTGAGTTGCTGTGCAGGTGCTAGGAGTCTAAGCCAGGTCCTCTAAAAGAGCAGCAAGTGCTCTTAACCTCTATGCTGTCTCTCAGTCTCCTTTGCAGCCTTTCTTTAATGGAGTAGGTATTAATAGTAGCCATGTATCCTCCTTTTAATTGTGTCATCTCAGGGAAGGCATTCAAGTATATACTAGTTCATAACTAAAGGGAGAAACTCCCAAGATGGCCAGTATCTTGCATCGATGATTTTCCTATCTCTCCTGGATCAACCCAATGATATGAACATCAGGTTATATTTCCCATCTTCAACAATGACAAACATTCCTTGAAAGTATGGAGAAAACTTCCAAGAGAATTTTCTATTTCCTTACTTTTAAGTGAATCGTTATGCCACCAACAACCAAGTGTTAAAAACTCCCATCATCTCTAAAGAAATTCTGCTTGGTACCTGGTGTCACCTGTGATCTCCCTATCTTCCTATGCCTTGCATCTTTGAGGCACTTCCACTCAGTGGTCAGACAGTCCAGAAACTCTCAGAACCATCTACAAAATAATCCCCCTACCCAGTACTCACATAAGAGTGCCAGGAAGTAAAACAGAGACCCTGGTTCACAGTGTACAACAGGTGCCATTCATCCCAGCTCCTCCCTCCTCCCTATTAAGCCAGCAGCACACTCCCTTCATGCATCTCCCTTGCTTACTATTTCTCCATAACTATTTCTTTTGTCCTGACTTGAGCAAGACCATTCAGCATCTGGCTAATTAACTTCAAATAAATTCTATTTAATTTTGTCCATGCCAATGAATTATCTCTCATTGGATTTGCAATCTAACCCTCAAACTCTGTCTGTCCTGCTCTTGAAAAAAATAACTAAGTACTTTTTGCTTCCTGGCTTAATTTTTTAGAACTCGGAGTGAGAGGGTTTTCTCAACAGAAACAAATTGATTTCTCCACATTTCCATTTCAGTCATGGGCACTGGCTGTTGATGGATATACACTTAATTCACCAACATACTCCTTTGTGGGTAAACATTTTAAACTGCCTGCCAGTCCCAATCCTGAGTGTTTCTACTTTTGCTAGAGCTTCTGTCACTTTCCTAAATGTTTTATTTCAGCCCAAGCAGAGCCTAAAGCATGACAGTTTGAAAGGTTATTGTAGAATTTCTAGTGAATGTCAGCTTGTCACACCCTTCCACTTCTACCATACATACTGGCTATTCAGCTCGAAGTTATCTGCTGTCAGTTTTGGGGGAATAGAATATCTTACAGTCACAGGGATATCCTGCTACCATATGACATCTTGCTGACAGCAGATAGACCTAACTATAGGTCACACCAAATGTCACCCAACTATAATATGGAGGGAAGTGCAAGGCAGAAATGCAGCCTCCTCAACTTCAGCCACACCCTTCCTTTTCTAAGATTATTAGCTCAACATTCAGGCTAAAATGAGCCCTACCAGGTAGTAACTCTGCAAACCTTGTCAGGGCCTTGTACTTAATTTGCTTTCATTTAAATTCTAAAGTGGGTTTAATTAGAACCTTACCTGGTATAGTTCTCAGGGCAAGGAATTGTACTTCACCACATACCTCTTAATGTGTGTCCAGCAGGGGCTGCCTTCTCCAAATGCAGAAGTCGGACCAATGTTCTATATAAAACAGTAGGGAGAAAGGCCCTCTGCTCCCTGGTCTCCTTATTAAAAACGGTTAATCAATCTAAATTTCAATCAACAGGTATAAAATGAACATTTGCCCTGTGCCCACCATCATGGTTGGGAAGAAACAAAGCTTTGAATTGGATTTGAATAAGAAGCAGCCAGGGGTATCTTTATCCCAGCACTAGCAGCTGCAGGGGGAAAGGAGAAAATAGAACTGTGTTTTATGGAGTATAAGTATACACTGGGGAACAAGGAAGGAAAGAGGGAAACACCGGTAAGGGAGTCCATCTATATGGCAGCTGTGGTTCACAAAGCTTATGTGATTCTTCTAATTCATTTTATTCTATTTTTCAGTTAAATGTAAGCTCTACAAAATGCACAGTCTTGAATCTAAGAAGAGCTTTGGCATTGTCATGGGAAGGTCTCCAGTTTCCTCAGCACTCAACTCTGGCAGTTGCCTCAGTCCTCATGCTCCAGTAAATGAAGAATTCAGACAGAAAACAGCAATTGATCAAGTAGTCAATATTTGTTAGAGCAAATTAGAATGCACTCAGGAGGAGTGGGTTGCTGGGTATTGCCAGCAGCCTCGAGCCTGGAAGGCACAGGGCTATGTCTCTCTTGTCCCTCTGTCCCTTCCCTGTGCTACCTTCAGGGTGAACCATTCTCAGTGAAGGGATGCAGTTTTCCCAGAAGCCCGTTTTGCCCAGGGATTAGTAAGTTATAAATAGATAAATAAGATTGAAGAATATGCATCAGGGTCAAATTACCCACCAAATTAAAAAGTTTACTAGGAGAAAGGTAACAACACTCTCATAATGTTCCCTAAGAAAGGACATTTTGAAGCCATTTTGATCCAGCCTAGCTAGCATCCACCACTATCACCCATTTTTCTTTCCATCTTGTTTTGGGGGTTGCTGGGTAGCCTGTCTGGAGTTGACCACTGCCACTGTCTTTATATCCTGACCACCAGATGACCACCACCATTATCAATATCAATGTGAACCTAAGTGTCTTTAATTCTTCCACTCAATTTCAGGAAAATGCCTAGAGAAATTCTCCAGTTTACAAGAGGAGGCAAATTAAATGTGATCTAAAACTCAGTCAGCCTATCCCTCCGATAATAGGATTTGGGATTTAGCTCACTCATCTAAAATACTTCCTTAACCCTCTCCATCCTCAACAGAGCACACAAAGGCAATTGAAAGCCCAGCACTCAAATCCACAACATGCTCTTAGCCCTGAG